AAAAGTACAGGTAAAAGTTACTCTTTATGTAAAAAAACATGATGTAAGATTATCTTTTTTACTAGACTACATTAGAGACTAATTTAGAAATTGGGTTGTATGTTTGGTTTCGTGGATATTAGATAATTTTGTTTATTAGAAAAAAAGCAAAATATATATTTTTTAATTTTTATATTGTGTATTCATTGTAATTCAAAAATAATTAGTATTGGATTAAAAATAGCAGAAGTGATCAATAAAGTTGTTTAAATATACATCACTCAAATTAAACAAAGCATTCCCAGGGCGAACCTGTACACAAGACAACACTCGCATTCCGAAGCTCGCTTAGTAACAAATCAGCTGTGTTCAAAGCCCACACATTCAAAAAACATTTATCTTCTATCTTCTAAGTAACAATGTTTTATCGCTTTAACATATTAATATTAAAATATTTTTCCTGCAAACAATCACGTATAACAGTTCGGAAACATTCCACTACATATTAGCATGTAACAATTATCTTTTTCTGTCTTACTCATGGAAATAAAAATCATTTCGTCACAAAAATGCCAATCCAGTGTCCACACGCTGTATCGAAGCAGAAGGGTTCATTATGGAATTATAGTCGGTTGCAATTTTTACTAGAAAATCGTCTCTCATAAAGGACGGTGCTCCCAAATGAACTTAAAATTAATGTTTTCTGTTTGGGGAACAAACATGATAATATTAATATTTCGTAAGAATGTTTGTAAGATTTTTTAGTTTTCCTAAACATCCTAACCTTAGCAACAAGTGGTTGCATCTTAGCAAGAGGAAAGATAAACTTAATATATAAAACCTTTCTTGCAAGAAACTGATTTACTTTGACTATTAATTTGTAAAAAATAATTATTACTGGAATAGTTCAATTGAAGAAAAACCTTTAAATTGATGGTATTCTTTATATATATAGATACACTTTTCTTAATTAATTAAATAAATTAGCATTTATTTATTTTATTTACGCGCCAGAGCGCATTAAAATACATACATAAACAAATTACGGTGCTATAGTCACACAAATAAATTCATCCTCGAGCAAGGGATTATACAGGATTTTCCTCCGCCCACTATCTAAAATTTTGTTTATTAACAAAACCAGAGAGATGAAAGTTTGCCTCATCACTCATCCACAAATTGTTTATTTGGTTGTCATTTTCTTCCAGTCTGCAAGCATAATTTTACAAAAACGGATGCGCTGTGGATAATCACCCGGGTTAAGTGATTGCACAATCTGTATTTTGTAAGGGTGATATCCAAGATCCTTATGGAGAATCCTTCTTATCGATCTGTCACTTTTTCCAAGACGTGTGGCGTGACGGATCGCCGATTGGCGTGGACTCTTTAACATTACTTGTCGAACACGTTCGATATTTTCAGGGGTTCGAACTGTTTTGTCACTACCACCCCTTTTTAGACGTCGATCCTGTTTGTTCCAAGTTGTTTACCCATTTTTTTATCGCTTTATCTGATGGAACAGGTTGGTTGCGCGGTATGTTAAAATGCCGTCGAAAGTCACGACGCGTTTGCACTAAACTCTCACCATTTTAAAAATAGGCTTTAACTGTATAACCGCGATGATCACCCGTCCAACGCTCCATTGTAAACTAAATGGTAAGTCATGTAGGTCTTGGCCAGTCAGCTACTTTCTTCCCCTCTACCAAAGAGTATAGTTAACATGTCAATCGATCTGAAAGTTTGTGACCTTGAAAATTTAAAATATTTTACGCGGGTAAATGTATTTAATCTAATATAACCTAGCTTTCTGATAATTTCTCTTTTTGGTTCAAACATTTATTTTTAATCGAATTTTTTTATACATCTGTATTTTTTAATACAAATTACATCGTAAATGTCTGTGCAGTGAAAAACTGCAAAACTACTAATCATTTCTCTAGATGTCATTTTTCTCATATGACAGCAACCAACGTTCTGATTGATGACGCCAGACTTGTCAAAAATACTCCAGACCAATAGGGAGGAGGCATCGAGGTCAACATTATTTTAAAAACCAAAAAAATAAATTTTGTAATAACCATACTAATTTTGTCTTCAAGTGGCTTAAAACCTGAATATTTTTTTCTTTTAGATGTTATTTTTCTCATGTGTCAACAAACCAACGTGCTGATTGGTGACCCCAGACTTGTCAAAAATACCCCAGACCAATAGGGAAGAGGTACCGAGGTCTTTGAGAATTGAGCCAGAATTTAACATGGAAAGTATAGGGAGTGACAGACCTGTGCCTCTACCTCGTGGCGCGCTGCAAACCATACGTCAAATCTTTCCTTTTCACTGCCGGACCCTCTACATTCCGAGAATATTTATAATTATTTTTATAGATACAAAATTTTCTAAATTTTGCATTTAATTTACACATTTCCATTACGGACATCGTTTTGCTGTAGCCTTGTAATATTTAAGGATTAAAATGATTATAATTTTTCTTTAACATGTATTTTTTAATAAAAATATTAGTTTCTATACTTCTTTAAACAAAAAAGTTTCCGATTAATTACAATGTTAAAATTAAATTATTACTGTACATTCTTAAAACGGGTGATCTGTTAATCAATAGAAACAATAAATTGTTCGGCAGAAGATAAATTTAAAAAAATTATAATAAATTCGATGGAAAATTAGTAGGTATACATTAAACAATAAAAAGTCAAGTAACTAGAAAACGGCAACACGTTAATAAAACGACATTATGGAGATTTTTCAAATCCAACGGCTTTAAATTTAAAACCATTAATAAAAGACAATCAATTATGGAATCCAGCCGTTTAGTTAAATGGAGAATAGAATAAATATCTCGATTTAATTACAAAGTATCGACGAGAGGGCAGAAACATTCATTTTTTAGATGAAACCTGGTTCGACACTCACATCATAAAAAAATATTGGACTGATGGAAGTTTAAAATGTAATGTAGATATTCTTCCTTCTCAAGGAAAAAGAATATGCTTTTACATTGTGGTGGAGAATCAGGTTGGGTAGAAGGAGCTCTCTTGCTGTCTGCAATGGATGTACGGGATAGTAGTTTGGACTACCACCAGGACATAGAAAGTACTCTTTTTGAAAAATGGTTTGAAAATACATTACTACCAAAACTAAATGAAAATAGCGTAATTCTTTTAGATAATGACCCGTACCATTCTCGGTTGGTACGAAAAACCAAATACCAATTCTACGAAATCAGTGATTCAGGACTTTCTGATGGAGAATGATATATTTTTTGAAGAAAACTACACAAAAAACAGTTAATAGAACTTTTACACTTGGTTGATTTTCAACCTGAATATGTTATCGACACCATAGCAATAAAACACAAAATTTTACGTTTACCACCCATAGAGTTATTATGGTCACAGTTAAAAAATTATTGTCGAGTAAATAACTCTTCTCCTAAGTCCACTTATTCTGTAATTGATGTAGTAAGAAATGCATTTAACTGTATAACTGTTGAAAACTGGAAAAACGCTAGTCAATATGTTAAAAAATCGAAGAGAAATATATGAGATTTAACAATACAATTAAAAAAATTTAAATTAATTTGGTTAATACTGATGATGATGATAGTGATATTATTTCAGAACATGAAATTAGTGACTGTGAAAGTGATTTAGAAATAAAGACGTTTTTAAATTCATTTACCTACATTTCCACAAAATAAATTTGGTGAAACATATTCTTTTTAAATTAATACTTAATAATTTTAGTCAGTTTCAATTTTCAATATATTTTTTAGTTGAACATGTTGTGTTTGGAAATAAAACGTTTGTTATTTTTTTTATTTTAATAAAAGTTCTTAGCGTGTTATATTTTTTATGTATTTTAAATGTTATTAAAAATCCTATGTACACAAATAAAGTATTTTTGAAATGAATGTTATATTTTTTTCAATGAAATTTAGACCGTAAAAGGATTTTTGTAGAAATCAAATTTTAAAAATCATCTTTAACATTTTAACAAATAACTCAACCTAAGCCGGCTCTGATCAGCATGTTGGCGAACGATTCAAGGGGTTGCCAGATCTTTGCGCTTTCTAGATTATCTTGCAACGTACTATACCATCGGGATCTGACACCACAATATTTTGGAAATTTTCGAGCTTAACCCATAATTTTTTGTAATTAATAGTTAGGTTGCTAATAGTATAGTTGTTACTTTAATTTTTTTCTATTAAAGCATCTTAAGATTACTATTTCTGAATTTCTTTATAATTAATTTACAATACTTTCAATAACATCACTAAATAAATAATTAGATGGTTCTTAAAAAGGTACGTACCTCAATGTTACCGACAACTTTTCTGATAGTGTTATAGGATTCTTTACACGATTGCAAGGTATCATTAAAACATCATTCTTTATCAGATACAGTACATAATTAAACTGATATCGTGAAATACGAAAAAATTCTTTATATTTCGTTTCATTATCTTTTAGATGTTTGTTTATTAAAATTGATTGAAATCCTTCTGTCTGTCTGTCTGTTTTTAAACAAAGGCAATTCTTTCAAGAGTAAAAGCAGATTTTTATTAATATTCATTTTTCTCGTGTTTTATTGTAGAATATTCGCCAGAGACTACAAATCCTGACGTGTGTAGGAGAACAGTACATACCTTGGCGACTTGGTAGCAGCTGCCCAGTAGCGGCTACCAGTGACCAGCGAATTTGTAGGAGAACGCTACTTTACGTAATACATTAATTAAAACTACCTAGTTTTAAATATTGTAATTTTATGTTGGTTATAAAATTATAAAATTCTGTAAATTTACAGAACTGTTTATGCAGTGTATGCATATAGCATGTGTATATTAACAATATTTTTGCAATAAAATAAAGTATTTGCCCTCCAAACAAATTTAAAAACGAACAGAAGTGTAATTGAATATAAAATGTATGTTTAAGTTTTATTACAATGCGATATGATTCTAACAGACAATCGCATAATTCGAATCTGTTTACATTTTCCAGCTCATTCCGGAAACCGTGATGCTGCTATCGGCCAGCTGTACGGGTCTGTATTACCGACACATGACCGAAGAGGCGCACAGAAGGACCTTTGTGGGCACGAGGACCTGCATCGAATCCCGAGTGAAACTCGAATGCGAAAAGGAGCAACAGGAACAACTCCTGTTGAGCGTGATACCCGCTTACATAGCCGCAGAGGTTAGTTAAATTTATATAAAACTATTTAACTGGACAAAAAGATATTTCGGGAGCACGTTCGCAGTTTGCGTTTTATTCAGTATATACGTGCTATATAATATTACCTTTAACTGAAAAAATTTGCGGAAGTATTGGTATTTGGCGATTTGATGTATTTTTTATTTTTCCACCTCGTAATTTTGCCGCCGTCGGCCCCATATTGTAATAAATTGTGAAAAAAGAAATGTGTTCAAGATATCTTGTTATTAGTTGCTTTTACAGCAAAAATCACTCCAATACTTATTGACATAAGTTCTTTCATTGCAGGAAAGGCGAATGTTGGGAAAACAAATCCATTAATTGTTTTACGTCATTGTTATCACGATTAATCCGGGAACTATCAATTCAGCATGCTGTTCCGAAGTGCTAAACTATATGACAAAAAATTTTAACCGCGTCACAAATATTGTGCAAAAATGACATTTTCATAGTCCACCTAGAAAGTACGCTCTCCTGGACTCCCCGCCCACGAGTTAGTCCACCTACGGTTTTCATCGTTTGCATTTTGCATTAATGATTTCTCAATAACCATGTGTCACATCAAAATTTGTCAAAACTTTTAATTGTGAAGCGCCCTCCATCTGTAAAAGACCTGGTTTCTGTAGGATTAATCTTTTCTTTTAAACTATACATATCCTATAAATATAAATGGCCACATTTAACGTACAAAAAATGACCACTGGCATCACATACTTTGATTTTCTTTTACTATACGGAGAATGGTCGCACTGCGCAGCTTTCTGAGTGCCTTTTAAAAGGAGATAGAAAACTCCGCCATTTTGAACCCTTATTACGTGTTGCCTGCATCTTGGCGCAATATTTTTAATAGGTGCGTTTTAATCATCCGCTTCTGCTTCGGAATTGTCGGTTTTCTTATTTTAATCTGACAGGTTAAAACGACTAAACCGACAATTCCGGAAGCAGAAGCGGATGATTTAAACGCACCTGATATTTTGCTTGCTGCTGTCAGTGTCAGTGAATATTATTTTTGAAGTCACAGTTTATTGCTAAAGAATCAGTTAGCTCACTCGGACCAGTTGAAAGTTCCAAAATAACATCCACTCCAGGGATACAAATTCATGATACGCAGAAGACTGCTGTTTTATTATAGGCGGTTGTCATATATTGTATTATCCGAGTTGCACAGTGTATAAACTGAAACATTGAGATCAAAAGTGCCGACGCAGAGTGAGCGATCTGATTCTTTAGCTGTAAACTGTGTCACAGGGTTCAAAATGGCCGCGCCCTATGTTGGGCGTGTCGGACCTCTCTCTTGCCTCGTATAGTAATCAAAGTATGTGACTGGCATGAAAATAGGGCAATATTTGCTGGATACTATTAAGATGAAGGTCCCAGTTTCCGCTTCTTTCGGGATAAATTAATTGTTTCATAACTGATACCATGCGAAAGTAAGAAAACCATAATTTAGCAGTTGGACCACATTACTAGATGATTTTTAAATTTTGAAGCTAATTCTTTGATGCATTCTTCTTGTTCTACTCCAAGTATAGAATTGCTTCTAGTCCTGTGTCTTGGTCTGGTGATAAATCAATTTCCTGCATGATCAATTTTGCGAGATGGACACATGTGCTAGGGACGGACGAGAGTATGTATGACCTGCATTGGGATTCTCATATTTCAATACGGCACGTGTCGAGACGACTATCTTCATTCTACAGAATGCGATTCTTATAATGTATCTCTCTATTTGATTAGTTACGTGTTGAGTTCGCACATAAGAATCCCTGTCCAGATAACATCTTTTCAAGTGAGTTCGGTGCAAAAATTGTACTTAGAAGATTGGTTAATCCACTACCATTCGTAATAATATACCCTATGGCTCCCATGAACGACATCAATAAATAAAAGCCACCTAATCGTATAACGACATTTTTCAATTTTGGTTCCATGCCACTCGAACAATTTGTTTTGCTTTCAGATACAGTGGCTGATCAAAATTGATGAAACATGTTTGCTGATTTAATGACTTTTCTCAGAGGCCGTTGCTTAAACAGTAAAAATCGTGTCGGAGTTAGTCGGTGGTGCATTAATGAAAGGCAAACAAGCTATAAAAGATTTCTAATATGAATGGTTTACTTTCGCTTCTTCCATAAATCCATTCCATACAGGTATAATGGGCAAATCAGCCCAGCAGATCTAAAGTTGCCGACATTATTGTATTTGCGATTGAAGAAATAGTACGGAGATCTATAATAGGAATTCCCTGTAGACTGTAAAAGTTTATCTTCTCTTGGCTTCGTACTGCAATTCTACCAGAATTTTCAACGTACTGAGCTGACGGCATTTTTGTGAGATGAGGAATATTCTGATCAGAAGCACTTGCGGGCGTTATACAATAATTGATGCCTTCCATGACATGAAAAGTGTTTCTGCCGTCCAGGGTTTGAGTATTAAAGTCCGCATTGTTGAAAACGAACTGTAAAAAGGCACTTTCGTCAATACCCAGAGGAGGGCGCATCAAAGCCGAAACCACGGCATAATAAATAATCGGCAGGCTAACTTGTCTTGGCGGCAACGCTACGCGCACATCTACGCGCACACCGCGATTTTGGGGTCCAACCTCTCAATCAAACCAGTGGCGTCACTGTCATCGTTTATATCGACAAAAACAAACAAGTTGCAGTAGCACGGAATGTATGGTATACTTTTAAAAAATCCTAGTTTATGAGTCAGTTTGTCAGTTATAAAGCTATTAGTAAGATGTAGGTAGGTGCCTAGTTAACGTCACGTAAAGTTTAGGGTCAATTTATATTTACTTATGTAGGTATATTATTATTAAGATTTAAAGTAAAATGTTATATTTTAAACATCTCCCGTATGGAGTTGACAAAATGGAAAAATCTTTATTTTTATTTTAAGGAAAAAGTCATTATAAAAAAATTCTGTTTGACGAAAAAATAGGTTTACTATATTAATATGTTAGGTCAGGTGTAGGTACATGGTCTTAATAAATGAAGAAACTTAAAATTGACAAAAGGAAAAAATCTGTATTACCTTATTGATTTTACGAAGAAAAGTCACAGTTTTCCTTTCGGTTTTCCTTCATAACTTTAAAAGGAAACTTTTTCTTGTAATTTTCTTCAACAAGCAGAATTGTTTGTATGGAATATTTTTTTTTTCTGAAAAAAAAAATGAATATTAATCGTAATTGTGTTATTCCCAAATATTGAAATGCTTAACAAAAATTTAATTCTGATATTCATTTTGATAATTATTCTAGATATGCGAATAACAAAGCTTTATAATCTTGATAAATCTAAACTATTTTCATTACAAAAAGCAAGAAAATCTTAATTAGCCATTAAAGAAATTATAAGTAGTAAATTAGTAATGAGTCACAATCAAAATCATGTGTTTTAAGCAGTGCTATTAAAAATGTAAAATTCTCATATTTTGTCGAAGTAAATTCAAAAGCCCGCCAATTTTCAAGCTAAAATAGCCTTATATCTTTCTATATTACCGACTGAGTATTAATTGCACAAAACTATTCCATATGTCGCTGAAGGTAAACATGCTGCCAAATTTCTGTGAGGAATCTGCAATTCTTAGTTATCCTTCCTCCATGATGGTAACTGTGTAAACCCTACATCGGTTTAAATTTAAAGGACGTTCAAAAAATTGCAATGTTTAAATTTATTACATTCTGGAACTGAAAACTGCGAAACAGGTGGGGATGCTTTACTTGTAAGGCTACATGAAATTCGTAGGACTAGTAAGGATGAGCCATTTTCCAAAAAGACGTGTAATGGTGGCAATATTGTCGAAAATGTAAATATAAACAAGAATATTAATGAATTGCATGCACAAAATATTAATATTTTTTAAGAAAATTTTATTATATATGCAGATTTTTAATAAAAAAAATGTCTTAAAATTCAACGTTGCGATGTATGTACACAATATGCATCAACACACGAAGACTTGGATATAAGCTCCATGTATTGTTATTATAAAGCATACAAAAAAATCTGATGTGTCCAACACATGACTTTCCTATCTAGTTATTACAGGCTTTATCCGTTTATTGTGTACAACCTATTGCAGCATCTCCATAAATGTTTAGAGGATAAACTAAATATATACATTGTCCACATACATCTACCGCGAAACATTTTTCTATAGATATTCATTGATAATGAAAATACTGAAAAATTTAAATTTAGCACTTTTCCTACAATTTTTCCATTACGGTCCATTTAAAAAAAATCATGTATGAACAAATATTATAGAGATCGATATCGCAAACAACTTTTATTTCAACAATTTTCATAAAAATCAGAATTTTGCACATTTTGTCAAATTTCTCGAATACGGACCATTTCAGGAAATTTTTACATAAAGCAAAAATTATAGATAATAATATTAGAAGTAACTTTTATTTGAACAATTTTCTTCTCTAAACATAAATAACAGATATATTCCATAAAATATAAAAACGGCCTCCCATAAAGTACCCCCCCAGATGTTCCGACTTTGTCCAAAATCTAATCATTTTACGTCAGGCCGAAATAAAAGTTAAGTTTAAAATTTATTGATTTTTTCTTTATCCGTTTTTGAGTTTTCTTCAAATTTCGAAATTTACACATTTTCTCAAATATCTCGAATACGGTCCATTTTAGAGAAATTATCTATGGGACAAAAATTATAGAGAATTATATTAACAACAACTTTTGTTTGAACAATTTTTATAAAAAAAAATATTTTTTTACATTTTGTCAAATTTCTCGAATACGGACCATTTTAGGAAAATTTTGTAAATAACAAAAATTATAGATAATAAAATAAGAAGTAACTTTTATTTAAAAAATTTTCTTCCCCAAACGTAAATAACAGATATATTCCATAAAATATAAAAATGACCACCTATAAAGTACCCCCCCAGATGTTCCGACTCTGCCCAAAATCTAATCAGCTCATTAGACGCTGGAATAAAGCTTAAG